GTGCGTCTGGCAGGATCAGACCTTTCAAGCAGAACAGGCTTTTTCCTGTCTTAATAAGGAGAAACGGGGGAACCACAGCACATAAAGGACGCGGCTCTTTCAAAGATAAGACGTGTAGCACAATGAAGCCTGTCTACATACAAGGGCCTTTGTAATTTGACTGGAAATGAATGTTCTGAAGGAAAGGTGCAGGAGTGCACACTGCTGTGCAGAGCGTCTCATGATTTCATCTGGTTTAGTGAGCAAAAGACGTGCACTGCTCACAGCTCTGCGGCTTAGACGATAGAGAGGCATCTGTCCGGGTCGAGGTCGGGGTTTTACAAGACTGTAAGCGTTTGGCTGATGCCTGTAGAGACACATAACTTACCATTTGCAGGTCATCGATGCGGCTGTTGACTCCAGCCAGCATCTCCTTCCTCTCCTGCGGGGTCTCTGGGCAGGGGTAGAGCGACGCACGGAACCTGCAGGAACGCCACAGTCAGTCTGACCACACAGCGGTCGCAGCCGATGGCCCCGCCCCTCCCTGAGCCTCCCTGACTTCATCACAGGCCATGTTACGCTGGACATATCGTACATTTCACTAGAATCAGATCAAAGCCTTTCGGGATGACAGACGGGACGTGTGTGTCACTCTCTACAGAAAATGCTCCACGCTGTGGATTTACAGCCGTCACAGCGCTCATGCTTAACTAGCACTTAGCTGTGATGCTACTACGTGATCGTGAAACCGTGTCAGGACTAAACATAAGCATCACGCTGCGTGATTCTACATTTTAAAATGGAGACGGTCAATAAAACAGTGACAGCAGCAACGTTTTTTCATGCAGCACCCACCCCTCACAGATCTTCTTCACCCGGTTCTTCAGCTGGTCACCCTGGAAGAAGATGATGAACACCGACTTGTGGACTTGATCTCCCTGTTGGAAGAGAACCAAACATTAGTGCTCTGTGTCCCAGAGTCCCACATGTATTATTTATCTGCTTTATTCGATTCTTGTTTGAAATTCTGTTCTCATTACTACTCTGCACAACTCCACTATCACTCTACTCACTGTGGTGGGGTCCTCTAGTGGGTCCTCGATCTCTGCCTTCCTTAAAAAGACATTACCACGGCACACCCTCCACAGCATCCGCTCAAAGGTGGGAATCCTCTCCCTGCTGATCACTCCGGCCACAAAGCTGCACAGACACGAAACCAGCACGACAGAAACGCCGCAGCTTATAATCCATCACAGTTCACGAGTGACAAATGTGAGCTTGAGATCCACTAAGACACAGGTGTCCAACTCCAGGCCTCGAGGTTTGAGACGCGTCCTCGATCCAACACAGCTGATTGAAACGGCTCAATGATAATGGCTGTATCCCAATTCA